GGTAACCTAAGTCCCGGTGAACCACTAGCCTGTTCTAGATCCTTAAGTCCGATGTTGGGATCGTGCCACCACCACCCAACTGTGGTACTGGGCGGTTTTGTTGTCATCCCAATCAATACATTATATTAGAGCTCTACGTTGTTTGCGGTCTTTATATATATAGTGGGGTAGGTTACAGATTGGTCCGGAGGTTATCTAAATCCCGGTTGTATCGTTTCACCTGGCAGCCGCTTTCCTCTCTCTGAAATTTGGCACAGTGATTTGTTCAGGACAATGCGAATTACGATTAGCCTTATTGTTATTGTCCAAAATATCGCCAAATATTTTTATTTTGGGTTTCTCCCTAAGAGTAAGGATGTTTCTTGAATATTACGAATGGTAGCCTATGGTGAGCAGCCGTTACTAGCTACGCCAGTGTAAATTTTAATCTAACCTCAGGTCTCCGAGACAAAGTCTGTTGACCCTGTGTTCATTGGCTCACCGAGCTGGGCTATTAGATTTCAGATGTTAACTTACCAATCGTGGTGAAATATTCAATGCAGTAATTTGATCAGAGCCTGCCTGTGCCCATATAGGTTGGTGACTAATATTAGACTCGGGTATTTCACATTTCGGTTCGTCCATATTCTGAGTTTTTCCCTGAATTGGTCAAGTCAACCTCAGCAGAACGAAAGATCAAGCAGTCCTTTTTGCTTTGAGACCCTGTAAAATCAAACTAAAACACAGAAGCCACGCGGTTGAAGCTAGTTTCCGATAGCTTTTTCATACCCAGAAGTACCACGTTTGGTCTAGAAAAAAATCGGTTGTTTCAGGTTGCTTTTTGTGTGCGGTGTGTGCACTAGCGGGCAACGCCCTTCTCAGCTCGTATTGCTCACTGTTTTAGCCTTTGTAGAATAAAAAGTGGTTAAACCGTGGCATGATAGATACCAAGGAGAAAGAGCAGTAGTTAGACAAATGAGTAATTTAAATAATACTGTTTTGTTTACAGATTAAGTTCCCCGTTCACCAAACTGCGAAACGCTCCTGCGTCGTTGACTACAAATACAGTTTTTCTGCCTCACTTTTTTGGAATCTTGAGTCTGTTTAGCGGACAATGAAATCTTCGTTAACAAACTGTCGTTTAAACATCAGGTTAGAATCATTTTGTTAATACTCCAATTGTTTCCGGCCCTGCGCTGTTTGCCAAGCAAACGAGTGTATTACGAGACTGTAGCTGTTTCCCAGTACAGTGACGCCATCCACGAAATTCACACGTCCCAACTCAAACTGATAGCATGATATTCATTATCTAATCAACTACACCGTACTCATGAGTGTTTCTCACGTGCAACTGTGTTGACGAGCAGCCTTAGACATTTATCTTGTTTATCACCACCAGCCTTGAGTGTTATGGCAATACTTGAACAGTTCCAGTTGNTTTGCACCTAAATACGGTGGCGTGCAGCTATACTGTCGTCCGTTCCAGGCCCATTCTTATCCGATGGAGACCATGCGTTGTTCACCACTCCAATCGCGGGTATTTTATTATCAGTCCCCATAATGGAACAGTAACTGTGGTTCATCCCTTCTGCTTTTGATCACACTTCACAGGCACTGATGATTTCACCTCGGCTGGTGATGAAACGTTTGCAAACAAATTGTCAAGCTCGGCAAACAGGCGAAATGGAATTATTTGCAAAATATTGTTGTAAAATATGTACACACCCTCTAAGCTTTGTTCGCAATACAGTGACTTTGGCTTCGTCTTTGCCTCACAGCGTCAGGTTCGATGAGCGACAGGAATTCAAATCTTGCCCAGCGCCTGGATGCAACTGCCTTACACACACAACAAGCACTTCACTCCAATCACTCATTGGAAACTTGTGATCCGAATCGCTCTAATGAATTACCGTTTGCATCTCACGATCATTCGTTGCACTATCGGAGGTCGACAGAATGTTTCCCTGATCCTCGGACACAGTCACACGACTCGGTAGATCCACCGCCGCAACCGCCTGTTCCACCGACATCATCCGCGCGTGCCGTAGGTCATTTCCCGCAACATTCGGATCTCGCGTCTTTTCACCACCATCGTCATCCGCATCCTCACTATCTTCATGGAAGCATAGTGTCTGACGGAACAACTGGGGTCGTGCCCGTAGTAAACTACGATGTGCATATGTCGGTTCCACCGCGTGGCAGACCACCGACGTGTTGCACCTCGGTTGATCGTCTGCAACCTGCACAACTCCAATCGCAACCTCAACTTCAGTTGCAGCAGCAGCAACAACAACAGCAATACTATTCCAAAATGAATTGTCCTCCGTTCGAACAGAATATGTATCGCTCCACCAACTACCCCCGTCCATTGGGTCCAATGGCACCATCAGTTCAGTCGGGAGTGGAACCTTCCGGCATACCGCCACAGAGTATGAATGCCTGTAAGTAATTCCATTTTACTTCCCCCCCCCCCAGGGGGGCGGGTGGGGGGTGGAGGTATTTGACACTAGATGAAATATGCGCCTCTATTCATCTCCCGAATTGTAGCACGTCCGTCCATCATTTTGCAACTAGCAGCGCAGTTTTTGCCTGCTGTTAGTGTCTGTGAATTAAATGTTCTTTTGCTGTATATCAGTTAATAAATAAGATAAAAATTATTTTTGTGTGCTTCACACTGCTACACTTGACAAAACAGCAGTTCCGACTCTCAGTGATGCGGCTCTCTCCTTCAAACAGTCTTATTGCATCTGATACCAAGGGAAAGCATGAAATCCCTGCTATTTAGCCAGACTCTCAGAACAAATTCCTAACTAGCTGATTTTCACAAATAGTTTCATCTGGACCGTGTTCATATTTTGATAAAATGCCTAAAGCGTGTGTTCTTTTTTAACGTGTGATAAGTTTGATTGATGCACACCCATTCCCTCATCGTATGAACGGTCCCCTGTCCTGTTTGAGTGGCTATTTTTTTCATATGCCAGTTCCATGGCCGATCTAGTTTAATCTAGGACAGTACTGTCGCACCTGATGAGCCCAATAAACTCCGCTATGCTAGGTCACATCTGATCTCTGAGCCAAAATTAACCTCCTTCGGGTTGTGACATAATCATGATACGGTACGTTTACTGCTTTGGGTTCAGTAAATAAATAGAATCAGTGACGAGGTTGAACAAGAGCAAAAACATCATTGATGAAACCGATCGCCGTGTGCACTATGTCCTTCACCATCGAGACTGTACAAGACCTGAATGCCGTTCAGATTTGTCTGACATGTTTTTTTAATGTTTGTGTGTATATGCAATGCCAGTGATAATTTTGTGCAAACATGATGCAACATGCCCACATGTTTATGAAAGAAAAGAACAAACATTTGAAACAGACTTGTTTCATTTTGTGTTTTCAATTTTGTTTCGCCAATCTACATGGAAGAAAAACAATGATTTGTCGGATTTCCGAGTCAGTATTTTCGAACTAAAACATGCTTTTACAATGGTCCGCAAATGTCACGGGGCATTTCTTTCCAACCTATTCCGACTGATCAGAACCTCTACACTCCTTTCACAATGGAAACCGCCAAAGTTTCTAACTATGAGCTAAATGAGCCACAGACAATGCTGTGAACTAGTCACCATCTTGCATCATACCGGTGGTGAGCTATGAGTTCATCAGTTCTTGGTAAAAGCTAAATCACCAAAGATATCGCTCATTTTAATTAGAACACGAATTGTAGACAGAAATTTGAACACCGCTTCTTCTTCATAAGAACGAGAACAAACACATTCACAGAATCGGGTTGAATTCAACCGCTTCAAGGTTATCCTTTCAACTGTGTACACAAGCGTTCACGTGAAATTTCGATTAGGATAATCTTTAAATCTTTGAACGGTGTAAACATTCGACTAGGCAAAATTGATGCGAAAGTGAAAGGCCATCAGTTACATTTGTTTTCGATAGGGGGAGGGAGGTGGAATCACACTCAA